CCCTTCTGCAAACTTGCAGAGGTAAACAATACACTCAAATTAGTGTAAAGATTATAACCCATTCTCATCACAGGCTGGAGGGTGTGTGGGATGTCCTGACACATCCCATTCCTCCCCCCACTAAATGGGTTAAAATATTTTTTAAATGACCATTAATTTTTAATTGCAATAGGAATTTAGTTCTGCTTTCTCAATTTTCGCACCCCCAGGCCATTTCACAGCTCCCCCCACTCCATAGACCAAAACCAACCTATACCCCTGTATCACTCCCTACTCCCTCATCCCCCATGTCAATACTCCTTGATACTGTTGCGTATTAGGAGCTCGGGTAAGGTATGAATTCTCACATTTAATTTTTTTTCTTAGCTTTGATACTGACTACAAGACACTTGATTTATAAAAATAATGGACCTTCACAGAGTGCCAATCCAAAATTAACAACTGACCAATCAGAATAGAGCCAGGAATACACACTTTTCCCACACACATACCTGTTGTCACACAAAACGCACATGTTTACGTACATTCGCGCTGTTCTTTGTAGGAACTTAGCAACAGTATACAAGGTGGTGGAGGGGGGGGGGAGTGGGCTTAGAAGAAAAGTCTACAGCGACACTTACTTTACTTGATACAGGTCTCCGGATTTACAAGATGAGAAAAGCTCTGCTTTGCTACCCATGGTGTCATTGAATCTTGTTAGTTATTTAGCTCCGCTGTACTCTATCCAAATGGTTCCGCACTGCTATCAAAGACAGAGAATATGTTATCATCAAAAGTGTGTTTTAATTAAGTTATGACAAAATTAGATTTTGTTCATAGGAAGAGGCACTTTTCTTTATTGATCTGATTTTTAGGTCACCTTGTTATCCTGGCAAAATCATTTGTAATGAACGTCATGTAGATAACTGCACACCAAAGTAAATATATACAGTATGCTATACCAGCAAAATGCACTTCATAATTGAATGTTACAAAACAAATGGTGGTAAAATGTGACTTATATTTGAAAAAAAATAAATATGTATAAATGAAAAAGTAGAAGCAGGCATGAAAAATATTTTTAGTAAACCCAAATTAAAACACTGTGGCTATGCTTACGGTGAAGTGATCGAAATCCCAACGCTGATTGGTTGACTTGGCTTTACCTAATCTTAAAAATAACTCTCACTATCTTAATGCACTATATCTCAATGTAAGCATAGCCACTTTGAAATTAAAACTTCTTTCAAACAATCATAAAATGCCAATATCAGTCTTACAATGACATTTTAAGTTAACAATATGAAGTAAATGACAAATCCAAATTTTTTTTTTGCAGTCAACCAAAATACATTTAGACCTAAAGAATCAAAATTTGCAGGGAAGTTCTCCTCTTCTTATCTCAAAACTTTCCCAAAAATAATCTAATCAATGCCAACCAAGGCTTAGTTCCAACCAGTCCCATATATGTACTAACAGTAGGTGAAGTCTACCTTGATCTTGAATCACCCCTCTGTTTGAATCTCTTACATACGGTTTATACTTATGGTGGTTGCTTGACTGATCGATTGATTTTATTCAGTACCATTACATACAAAAAATACAAGGCAAACAAAAACAGGGAAGACAAGAAAACGGTACTAAGAATGACCCAAGGAAGGTAAAAAAGAAACCTTATTTCCATTAGGGTCCTTATATTAACAAGCGAATACAAAACACAGAAGTAAAAAAACGGCAAACCTAACAAAGAGGGGTAAATAAAATGAACTATAAAAACATTGCAAAGAAGTGTAAAAATTTAATTTGAAAGAAAAAAACCATAAAATTAAATGGTGATTCAGCCAATGTTCTTCAATTCAAGCCTTGATTTAAATTGGTTGATTGTTTGTGAATCCAAAGCTTCAATTATCGACAAACTATTCAAATCATTAATTACTCTCGCATTAAAACTTTGTCCTCCTTACTTTATTTTAAAGCCCCATTCCCGGCAAAATTTCACAAAAAATGACTTTTTTTAGAAAATATGCATTTGCATTACTCCAATTATTATAAATCATGGAAAAATATTGGCATGAATTTTAGTTTTACGCAAAAGAAAACAAAAACAGGGAAGACAAGAAAACGATACTAAGAATGACCCAAGGAAGGTAAAAAAGAAACCTTATTTCCATTAGGGTCCTTATATTAACAAGCGAATACAAAACACAGAAGTAAAAAAACGGCAAACCTAACAAAGAGGGGTAAATAAAATGAACTATAAAAACATTGCAAAGAAGTGTAAAAATTTAATTTGAAAGAAAAAAACCATAAAATTAAATGGTGATTCAGCCAATGTTCTTCAATTCAAGCCTTGATTTAAATTGGTTGATTGTTTGTGAATCCAAAGCTTCAATTATCGACAAACTATTCAAATCATTAATTACTCTCGCATTAAAACTTTGTCCTCCTTACTTAAATTTTAGTGAATGTTCCCTAGTAAATGCAGCTAATGACAAAAACCTACCAACTCCCCACTTATCAAACCATTACAAATTTTTAAAACCTTGATAACAGATGCTCTCTTCCTTCTATAAGGATAGGATAAGCCTTGGTCTACATTTTCAGGCCTGTTCTGTATGCTAGCTAAGCAACTAGGCCTAGTTGCTAGGCCTTAAAAAACGCATCTCTAGCCTAGGCCTACTACTAGTACCACCTGCCTCTATAATGTAGCCACCTAGACTCTAGCTGGCCTGACTGACTCTAGCCTAGAGTAGCCCTATCAGTATGATGCCAAAACAACACAATACAAACACTGGGCTGAAGTCATGGATCGCAGTTGATCCGAGTAGTTAAGCCTTCCTTGTTTTATTTAATATTAACAAATTGATTAATATTTGCAAAAGCACTAACCTCCAAACGTCAACGTCAAAAAACGGCTAGCCTGGGTGCTCACGAACGTAAAACACAGAATTTATGTTGTTTTTACCGTCGTTGGTCAAGCGTAACGATTAGTCCTTGATAGAGGGAGACTGTCAACTCTAACAAATAAGAGCTCGAGTGGATGCTGTTCGAGCGGGAATGATCGACTGTTCCACCCCTTGGAACCGCACCTGCCATTTGAATTTTGTTCAGTGATTTCACTTTTTTGTTTTGCTTTAGTTCTTTCTTCTTCCCCTATCCACAAAGTGTTATTTTTTAAAACTTTGCTTTCTTTTCCCCTTTTCTTTCATATTTTCGTTAGAAAATATACTATAGGCCTAGCCTATATAAGTAAAAACAATATTGTATTTTACTTTCTAGAACCGTAAAAATTAGTTTAGGTCTGTCCTAAAACTTCGATCATGGACCTATTCTGATCATCGTCATCGTCATCGTCGTCATCATCATCATCATCATCATCATCATAATCATCATTATCATCATCATCATCATCATCATCATCATGGCATCATATCTTTTTATTCGATTGTTCTGATCGTATTTTATACTTTCCTGTGACATTTTTTGTTGTGTTTAGAATAAAAAATGATTGATGATTGATTTATGACAATCGCTAATTGTAGGCCTATAACCTTATTTGACAAGTGAGTGCTATCTAGTACGCTACATTTTTCCAATAAGAAATATATTTTAGTCATTTGATTTCATATAATAATTTTATTGGGGTTTTTTTAAATAATCGTTATTGTTATACAATTATCACTTTTTGTTGTTATCATTATCATTGCTATTATCATTTTTATAATCATGATTTGAATAGAATAAATGTAATTCATATTCCTCATTTTACAAGTCCGTTGCTACTACTACGATTTTAATGTTTTCCATGATTATGACGTCATCTGATTTGATTTTTCAAAATATGTTGTTATGGCATATCTGATAAATCGTTATCGAATCTTTCTAATGTAAAAACTTTTCTTATTTCTTTTATTTTCTATATGAACAATTGCTTTTTAACTTTTTTATCGTTATCGTTATCGTTATCGTTGAAGTATAAACGGGCCTTTAAAATGGCACCATGAAATTGGACTGTTGTTGTCATTTTCCTTTGTGACATTAAAATTGAATGGTTATTAAAATTATGGTCGCATCCTGAGTATTTTATAGGTTTTGGACCACTTGGTTTTCTAGCAAAATTATGCTTCTTTTTATACTTCTAGACTTCTTAGTTGGTTTTAAGGCCTATATATTGGCGCTGATGCCACGTTACACCGGCCGCAGCCGAGCGGCTGAGATGTCCGTCTACTAGGGTCTTCACTAGTTTCGGTTGATGGGCATTAATTTTGCTCTTCATTTTCTTCGCTTGTAACCAGAGCAACTGGAACTGATTAAAGAAAAATGTTTCTTACATTCGAATAACGGACTTGTAAAATTACAATTAAAATGTTGAGAGAGATAGTAATTGGCGACCGTCTTGCTAGGAAACAGTGGGTGTCCTGGGTATCGACGATATATGCCTACCACACCAGCGGCGATCGTGGTAGTGGTCAGTGACGAGGCCTTGATGGAGTGATCACGGGCTATATCAATTTAGGGTAGGCCTATTTGGTTTAAACAATTGATTAACATAATAATGATACCTGAAATTAAACAGTGTTTAAAAGTATGACCAGGCCCTATATAGACGTAGGCCTAACTAATCTTACGTCATTATCTAATCATTGGTATGGTAATGACTAGGCCTATTTTTCATTTAGCTTCAACAAATATATGATTTGAACTGAACTTGGGGTGTAAATGGAGTTATCCGTACACGCACGCATCAGAATTCTATCTACTTCAGTAAATCCATATTTTCTATAGAATGATTGTGCCTTCATATTCCCTGTGCCGGTAATAACAGTCACTTCTCTATAGCCACACTCTGTACAAAATTCTCTAGCGGTGTCCATCAGAATACGCCCCAATCCACGACGTTGATACTCCCTGACTACATACATCCGCAAGATTTCTGCAACATTGCTACGGCCACTCGTTTCATCAGAGGCATCCTGTACTGCCACAGTCCCAATAATTTTACCATCAAACACAGCAACTTTATAACAGCAACGTGCCTTGTAGGCAAACTCATTCATAATATCGTAGCTTTTTGTTGCTGATTTTAAATACAGCCTGTTCCATAGGTGCTCTTGATAAAAACGTATACCAAAGCAAAGCAGAAAAGCTACTACGGTGTAGATGAACGAAGCTGTAACACCCATCGTCAAACAGCATGTTATGAAAGCAATGTTTGTGATAGGAAAAGAGAAGTATACGAAAGAATGAATCGTACTTCGAAAATATTTCATAAAACCATCCATAATTCCCTCCTCAAACAACCTGAAAGCATTGTCCACCTCATGTGGCTGAATATCGCGGATGACGATATTATCTGGTGTTAGTTGCTTGGGTCGCATTGTATTTAGAATTGACAGTCAGTTTTCCGATTGTTGACAAGAATGCAGTAAAAATGGATCCCTCACGGAATACATTAGAGATTGAAATATAAATCATCGAACTTTACTCACCCAGCAAATAACATACCATTATTGTTTATTGCCTATCTTTTATAGTATGTACATAGGGGCCATGCAAATTTAACTAATGATATGTTCTTAATCATCCATTCGATCAAAAAAAGCAATTGTTTGTACATTTCGTAACCATCTCAATAACCACATATCGATTTTATGGGTGCTAACGGTTATCAGAGGCTAAATTTATTGTGACAAAAAAAAATGTTTTGTACGTTGTTAAAATTGGAAGCGTGTAAACTTTTTATACAATCTCAAAAGTGCCGAATTTCTAGTATAAGCAATATATTCCTTTTGTATTTTATTATGACCCGTACGATATAGTAGGCCCCTAGTGTTAAATATTATTTGCATACATAGATTGCTGTTTTTCTTGTACTTTCAAAAAAAATATCATAGTATAGTATAGTAGTATATTGAATTTTATATAGGCCCTATAGCCGTTATTAAACAATATTTATACAGCCTTTGACACGGACAATTATATATTTCGATTTATTTAAATAGTGATACCACAAGTTCACAAACTCCAGTGTTACGTTGACGCAATCTTGCAATGATGTCATAATAATTACTGTTGCGGATTCAAGTTGGGGGGGGGGAGCCTACCCCCACCCACCCTAATTTTTTCAAAATTATTAAGAAAATGGGGGAAAAACAAGGAAAATTAGGTCTACCATTTACAGCCATCTAGAGGTGTTAAATCATAAATTTTCTTACCTTACCCGCACCCTTGGGGGTTAGGTGATCTAGTTTCTCCCTGTCCCCTCTATTTCGCTTTCCTGGAGCCGCCACTGATAATGATAAATTAAGTAAATCAACTTTATGTTTGTGAAATCAAAAATGCTAATTAATGTTGTGTGTGCTTCCTATCTCCCTAGTCCTGTAAATCGCAACTTGCACAAAAGTAAAATTCAAAAAGAGGAAGAAAAGAAAAACCTTTTGATTGATTTTACTGTAATGCAAAGAGACTAAATTAATGTTTCAAGTTTATCTTATTTGTTTTTAATGGTTCGAATACATCACAAGATAATCAGTAGATAATAAATCTTTATTTTTATGAATGTTAGTAATTTGCACGAAATATATATGCGGGCATAAATATGATTACCAGGATAATTTAAAAACTTTTTATGATGAGTATTCCAGTGGCAGATTCAAGGGGCCCAGTCGGCCCATCCTCCCTAATTTTTTTTTTTCCAAAATTTAAAAGTGGAGAAAAATGAAAATTATATTCCTAATGCATCTGAGAGTACAATTTCCGGCCAACTATAGCGGTGCCATAATTATAAATTTGCTTACCTCAGCCCCCAACCATGGTAGGGCTGAGGTGGTATAAAGCTCTATTTAAAATTCCTGGATCCCCACTGTATTTTGAAAATGTGTGGAAATAAATGTTAATTGAATTCAAGAAAATCAATTAAATACGACATAATATAAAAGGCTATAGATGCCAGAGATTTCGGGAGTTTC